TTTGTGAGAAACATCGTAGTAATTGCTATATTGAGCAATCGTCCAAAATTACAGTCAATAGTGTCATCAATGAAATTGCCCATGATAAAGTCGCACCAAATTTTTTATCCTTTAGTTTTTTTGCAACACTCTCGATCTCTTTTTTTCACGCGTACAAGATGACTTCTCGCTGAAACCAGCGTCGCTGACACCGGCATTTCTGCGATATGAGCTGTTTAATGCTATCGCGTTAATATATTGCATTATTTTTGTTGCAACACTCGACAATGTCCACATGTGTACCGGGTGTTTGAAGAAATGTGTCCAAACTCCACAAAAATCAAGAAAATGCTATATTTACTGTAGCACTTGGAGCATTAATATTGAAAGTTAAATTATTTACTTTTAAGGAGTTCAGCTTATGTTATTGTTTTCTCCAATTTTATTCTTAATTTTTCGGGTTTGTGTGTTCATCTTGTGCATTATTGTCATGATGTTGGGATAGCCGGCTCTAGCGTAGCCTATGTTCCCATATTCTGCCAAATATAAATAAAAATAAAAGAATTGAAGTTCTTCATACGAAGAACTCCTTTAGTAATAGAAAAAAAAACGGCTTCAAATAAATGTTGTGGCATGATGAAATGACCAAATGCCGTGATTTTCACTGCTGAATTTCGTTGAACTTCATTACAGTTCACGTTCTTCCTAAAAAACACGCAAATTTATTTATTTATTGGTAATTTTTCCATCAAACACTCGATATCGGGTACCGTACAAGTGAAAACGGTACGTTCGTTTGTAAGTACTACGACAAAGTATTGCTTTGATTACCCTTTGCCCCCAACCAGCGTTCCTTCGATGGAGGTGAAAATGCTGTAGGCCCGTGTGCTCAGATTTGGGTGCACGTTAAAGAACCTCAGGTGGTCGATATTTCAGGAGCCCTCTACTACGGCGTCTTTCGTAATCATAGGGTGGTTTTGGAACGCTAAACCCCACGTATCACTAAAGCAAACAGCGTCACACAGCTCTAAGCAGGCTGGAAGGATCCATTTGCGTCCGCCGCATGCGCGCGTTGGCTGGAGTATCGGTAGAGATGCCACGACACCACTCCGCTCGGCATAACACGGTCCCTGCGGCTATCGCCGTCTGGTGGCCGCCGGTGGAAGTCATCATTCTCCGTGCCCCCACTGAAGTGATTCTTAAAAGAGAGAAAAGAAGAGAAAAGTGAGCCCCGTTATTGTCTGCTTCAGTGAGCGACACCGCCACAGTAGCTCACGAGGGATGGAGGTGAGGAGGGATAAAAAGGATAGGAGTAAAGATGTAGGAAAGCCGAAGAAGCAGAAGAGAGGAAGAGACGTGAGGTGGTGAGCCAGAGCGAGCGACGACAAAATGAGGGGATAGAAGAGATAGGAAAGATGGGAGCACGGTCACTGGAGACCGAGGACGGGGCGCACCTGCGAGAGCTCCTTTCGGCGTCGTTGAATGGCGTAGAGCAAGTCCAGTAAGTCAGAGCTGCACTGTCGTCGGAGGTGGAAGGTCGTCGGCGGCAGGAGGTGACGTAGGGCAAGCCCAGTCGGCCAGAGCCACGCTGACGCCGGAGATCGCAAGCCCCGGAGCGCGCGAGCGCCCGACCGGTCGGCCCGAAATCCAGCAAGCGAGTCCTCCGTGCCCCCACGGCGCCCGCAGTCGGCACACTAGTAGATATACCACGGGGCATGGATATTCTAGCCACCCTAGCATGGAGGAAGGAAACACTTCCGCCACGCCACGGGGCATACTTGCACCCGCGATCACGATGACGGCATTTTGCTGTGGTGCATTGAGAATGCATACTTTGCCAAATCATGTGAGACAATTAGGGTATATACATCTTTTCTTCGAGAGGAAAATAACGGAGAACAGTCCCATTACAGTTAAGTATAGCCACACGGACATCAGCACCTGGGAAGTTTTACTACCAGTCTACCATAGGGCATGCATTATGTCTTACATAATACCTTCTTTTTTCCTACCTGTAGCAATCAATTTTTGTAAAGTGTACCCAGCAAGGTATGCCAGAAAATACTTGCTTCTTTGTGCGTGCACTTGCATGTTACGTAATTGATCTCCTGCAGGGAATATAACTAATAGAAGTGTTGCAGAATTTAAATAAAACAACATAATACCTGTGCGTTCATACTTTCACTAAAGTGACATATCTGTGCCTAGCTATTGCATAGTTTGCAAAATGTTATTGCATTAATTGGAGTAAACTTACACCTTTATTTGATTTTCCTGTTTTTGAACCTTGACAGAAAAGTTTTGTTTTCGTGTTTGATTTTTTTGTTTCCCTGGCACTCAACTCTCCAGTTGCGCCCTATGTTCTGTCAGATGCGCTATGTGACACGGTGCGCCATATAGAGCACCATGTGCCATAAAACTTGAAGACTCTGTGGTTGGTCACGACAGAGCACGCAATCCTTCGCGGACCACGGACTTACTTGCAACGTGAAGCTTCGCTTCTTTTTCGCCTTTGGTTGGGGGTTGCCTTCACAAAAGCATATACAACCCTCATTGGATTCACTGACAGTGCGGAATGCGACGTCTGCAGCAGCGAAGAAGACATCGATCATGTGCTACTCCGTTTACTTGATTTGCCTCTGAAAGACAGAAGCTTTCTGACGCATTGCGACAATTGGACGAGCGGCCACTCTCTATGCAGATGATACTGGAGCACCGTCCTCCTTTTTCGTCGGCTCAAAAGGCAGTAAAAGCGATCGTGCGCTTTTTGGGGACTACAGGCCTATGTGAAAACCTTTAACTTTTGTGTAGTGTCACCGCTGCATATGCGTCAGCCCAATTACTGGCAATCCTTTTTTTTTCCTCTTTCTCTTCCCTTTCTTCTCTCTCTTTCTCAACTTTATACTCCCCCTTGCCATTGCCCCAGCATAGGGTAGCAAAGCGGGCATATGCCTGGTTAACCTCACTGCTTTCTCTCTTGTTGTTCTTGTCCTCCTCCTCGAGGATGCACTGGTAATCTGTACTTACCCAAAATATATACAGTATCACTGTGCGTAGCTCCTTCCTTACTTCACGAGGAGAATAATAGAGAATATTCGCATTATTAAAAAGTGTAGCATTATCGACATCGGCACCTGATAAGATTTACTTCCATAGAGTCGTCAACCATAAGCATAGTGCACAGTTTGAACTTGCACTTTCATCATGAACTCATTGTCACCTATGGACATTCACCCTAGCAATGAACGTTGTGCGTTGAACGCTTTGAAGGAGGACAACAAGCAATTAAGCAGAGCATGTGTCTTGTAGTATACGAGCGAGATATTTTCGTTTGGGTATAAATGCCGAAAGGTACGCCTAGATCGATGTTATAACCTCATGAACAGCCTTGGGAAGAGTAACCAGTGCAAGTAAATATATGAATAAGGAGAAGGCACTAATCTCTTTAATCGCTGGAGAGTCCCAATACCTTCTATCATATCTACTCTCATGCGAAAAGTTTGATCACAGCCTCGGCAATATCGGGTTGTTGGCGAAGATTCGGTCAAGGTTTTCACCATAAAGGAAATGCCTGATGATTCAGTTTTGCCGAGAGCTACATCAGAAACTCTATGAACACAAAATATTGGGGAAGTCTGCGATTTTAAGGAAATAAGTTGAGAAAAAGGAATGGATAGAGTTGAGGAACGGATGTAGCTGCAAGTATTTGGAGTGCTTTAGGACGGTGCGGCACAGTATAAATGTTGTTTGACAACATTGATTCGAAATTCAGTGATCTATAATTAAAGCCACTTGGTCTACTCAGATCAGTGTAAAGTATCTGCCCAATATTTCGTGCTGACAGATAATTTTCAGGCCAGCAACTAAGTTGATTATGAATTTCATACGACATAAGACTCACCAGCGAGATAAAATGTGGGTACCTGAATAGTACTGGCTGTATTCATTATGCCACAAATTACACTTTTTTAAAATCTGTGCTTTATTTTTTCTAAAACATATTGCCTGTAAGATATGCCCAAAAACCTTTGAGTGTGAACTTATCTCTTACGTAATAGCTGTGCTGCACGGTATGGAGCTACGAGATGCAGTCAAAGCAATGTACATTGCACGCGACAGGGATCAAGAAACAATCTTATATAGCTGTCCTGTATGTTCCAGTATATGTTTAACAAAGGGACACATTGAACAGTGCGAACATTTATATTTCCACCTTTACTTCTTAAAAGCATTGAAAATACGAATTCATCAACTAGTGATCGTTTTTCTGAGCTGCTGCTCAAGAGAAATTTTCTTTTCAATTGGTACATATACTCGACATTGTCATTACATCATTAATATGGCATGTCGCCAGCATTTTATATCAATGGAAATTGGGATCCCACATCCACACACCTGTGTCTGTACAAATATGTACAGAGATTGAAAAATTTAAGGAGGCAGAATGATAAGAAATACTGAAGCCTATTTCTTGACTACTCTTATGGAGTTAGTAAGAGATATTACGCTGTGTTCCTGCAGTTTTATGTATAAAGAATGCTTATAAACGTTTTCCAAGTGAGTCATGGCATAAGTGAAATTCACTTATTTGTATTAGCACGCTGATAGCCAACACTCTGCGAGTGCTTTCTCGAATATCTGGCACCACCATAGACTTCGCGTACAGATTTCAATCGGACATTACCATGTATATTTCATTGTCGAGTTTTATTTAGATTAAGAAACGTAATTGTATATTATACATAGTGGCAATTACAAAGGTATATTGAAATAATGCAACATCACCCTTTAGTATATGTTAAGCAGCCTCAATTTTGACAGGAACAAAAAAAAGCCAGCACAGCACATCTACTGTGCTGGCTCTTCCCAGTCAAAAGTAGCGTTGTTGAAGATTGACCATTGTCAATTGCCTAATTTTCAATCTTTATAAGATGCTGATCGACATTCAGCAGATGGGGGACACTAAAAAATTCTCAGCAAGATTTCTTTTTCAGAAACATGAAAGCACTTCTCAAAGAAGGTACTAAAATAGAATGAGAAAAGTTTATTCCAAGTAAAACAAAATGCCACACACTCATGTCGAAACCGCACTGCGGTCGTCTTAGTCGTCAATCTAGACAGTACAAAAATATACGCCTTCCACAGCTTGTTGTGAGAAAATACAAGCAGTTGATCACTGACCAGTTTTTAAGCAGTGTTAGAGGGTAGCAGCCATTGGCTTTTATGGAGAAGTTTGACAACACGCGGGAAGAGTGTGACGCTATAATTTGGGAAAAGGAGACAACGGGAACTCTGAGCTCGCAGACAAGTGAATATCATTGAAGGGCACATATTTTTTCCGATTCCTCCCTCATTTTAACCACCCTAAACTATACCATTCACCTCTGTCTACGCTCTTACTTCCCCAGCATCTACTCCTAGGTAGGGCATAAAGTTGAAAAAAGTTTAGACAACTACTCTGCCTTTTTATTTCTAATCTTTTTACTACACATCAAATATATAGAGCTGTAATGCATTCAAAATGCCCACTATGTAATACTTGACCAAACAAAAATAGATATTTGTGCTCAATGCTCTGTGTCCCCAAATTCACCATGGTCTGTGATAGACTTGCACAAGTCTAGACATTTTAACAGATACATTTAATTTGCTCTATGAAGTACAGTGTACGAAGGAACATGCCTTAAATCAGAAAAAATTGTAGTACTATGAAGGTAGTGTCTCCTTGTCTCAAATCTTCAATTTTAGTGGTACTGTTGAAGTAGATAGCTCTGCTAGTATTAAGGAATGGCCACACTCTATTCCAATGTTTTGCAGATGTTAAAGGAATCGATTAAAGATTATTTTGTCAATTGTCGTCTGTTCAAGCGTGCTTTGCTTCACCTGTAAAAGCCACGTGGCAGGCTCCTCTACACAGCCAGTTGATTTCCACATTGGGACATATTTGAATGAATACATGAATGAAATGTGGCACCTCTGGTACCACGCTGATGTGTATATACAGCATGCAAAAATGAGATTTTCCAGATTATACATGTCCAAGAAATCTGATTGAGAGGACAACGTAAGCCAGAGTCGGGGTGAGTCATTTGAACAGAACAAAGTTTTAACATGAATAAAACAGTGAAAATTTGAAAATACATTCAAACCTCATTATAACAAAATCACACCTGTTATGAAAATACTTTATCTGAAAATTTGTTATAAACACATATTTGCACTGCTGTATCTGTGACTGACCTATTTTTCATTTACTTCGTTATAACCAATAGTTCGTTATAATAGGTTTTGTTATATCGAGGTTTGAGTGTACTTTATTTGAAAGCAATACAAACATGAATGTCTGTTATCACTCTTATGACATAAGTATAGGATCATGAGAACCAATTTCTATATTTTAACTAAATAAAATAAAACAGATTAAGCATTATTCCAGAGACTCCCTACACTATATATATACACCGCCTGTGCATCCTGTTCTGTGGAAGATATAACATCTCAGTCCTGAAATAAATCAGTTTCCAATCAATTGCAATGAAAGGCTTCATATAACAAGTCACAAAATAAGGAACACTTTCACAATGTCGCAGCATGTGAATAAAAGGCGGTTGCTGCAACTCTGCAATGTTTAGCCACCATCAGCAGGCCGTAGTACCTTTTAAACATTTCTCCATCTGCCACAACAGTTATGGCTACTAAGCATATTATTGCTTTATGTATTGGAACTCGTGAAAATGCTTGCCAGTCGAGAACTTGTAATATTTAGGAAGCTTGTTTGACACAACATCTGAGGACGTGGCAAAGACAGCAAATTTAGAAATACTTATAACAGTGCTCTTAGACTAAATAGTTCTGATGAACCCATTCCTTTCATCAGGCTTCTGTGAGCCAATCGGCTTAGCTTTAGCTGTGACACGCATGTGTGCTGCGAGCACAAGCACGAAAAGCAGCTAATAGGCAGTCTTGGCAAAACACAATGTGTTTCATGAACACAAATTTCTCAACCTCGTGCTCTCTTCTTCTATATTACACAATCTTATGGTAAGTCTCTAAAAACACAGAAAAATAAGCTTCATTTTGTGGTCATTGAATGGTCATACAAACAATACTAACATATATTTCATAATTAAATCATCTCGTCACCCCGTTTACACGTACAATTACAGCAAACTGAAAAAAACTTTATCCCGGAAACCTTATGTGTAAATTTAAACCATGCAAACTTGAGTAATGGAACACGTTAATCATCTTCCCACATTTCAGCATATTCTGTTCAAGCATTAACCTTTCGCAATCTCAAGGACAACATGCTTATTTGTTCACAATGCTCCATTTAAACTTGTAATAAACACAACATACTTCCTTACACTTTAGACATTAGGATATAATTATTGTTGTATGTTACAGAAAAAGGTACTGACTCAAAAACTTCTCGAAATGCAATCAATATTTCTTTTAATTTTACTTCTTGTACTGTGCTGTTCATTTTCAATTGACTACCTGTGCATAACATATGTTTACACACCTCTACATGGTTAGCACAAATATAGTTTGGGGGGGGGATTCATTGTTAATATAAACAGAACAAAACTTTTGGTATGTTTCAGTTTATGAGCACTTGTGAATGTTCTCCTGCATGCTCCAACTAACCTGCTGATGTAAGGACATGCTGAATTCAAGCTTTTTAAATATATACAGAAGGTTTATAGACAAGATGTGAGAAGAATTTCAATATTGTATTTTTGCTTACGAAGGTATTTCACATGTTTAATCATGTGAGAACTGAAATAAGTAATATGTTATGTACATCAATAATTTCAAGAAATATCATGTACATGTTTGACAAACATCTTCACCGAAAAGATAAGAAACTATACATATGGCTGGCTTTAGGAGGAAGAAATGGACACTGATCAAAACAACTGCTGGCAGAAAGGAGCGGTATGATTTAAGTAAGCATCAAAAGTATTTTAGCGAACAATTTTATCGCACATTTTTATGATATGGCTGAAGCATTTAGCCTGATAGTCAAGTAAATCGGCGATATTAACTTTATAAAACATTTTTGCTGATGTTTTTCTTTCATGCACTCATGCCAATGCTGCACTCTGCTCTAAAGTAAAGCATCTCAAAGACAGTTTCTAAGTGTCATTCCACAAAACAATCTGAAGTACTAAAAACACGTAACTACCAACGTTTCATCTTTCACACTGGGTATTTGTTTCCAAGAGGGGCAGTGGTGAAAGTTTCACAAAAGTAAATCAGAAAACACAGAATGCTTTGTTATCACAGCTCTTCAAGCATCTGAATATTCAATGTACTAAACCCCATTGCAATCGTTAACTTTTACCTGAGAAAGCTGCAATATAAAAAAAGATTGAAGTTTATTTATGTTGACATACTTTTATTATTCCTAGCTCATGTAAGCTTGTAAAAATAGCATTAATGCCTTCAATAGGGCCATTTGACAATATGAAACACGAAGATATTTTGGGTACCACTTCTTGCTGTAATGATTTCTAAGCTCTGTTCTAAAAGAACTTCATTACATGCTTTCAGTGTTTAATCCGATGGTGAGGGCTAGTATAGCATCGGTTAAATGTACTATTTCCATATTCTTAAACTAGACATCCTGCTATTATTGGTGGTTGCTGAGCTAATAGAGTTGTAAAAGCGCAGTTGACTAATCTTATATGATACAGAACATTGTTCTTGTAATGAAAACGTGTCTAAAAGCAAAGCCTAACAATGTGCAGCGAACTCATCATCTTTATTTGGACCATGACCAGAAGTAGAAATATATTGTCCAGTGAATGTAGCAATACAGTGAATAATACCTGGCAGAAAAGAAAGTCAGCTCATGCTGTCAATTCCTTATGATTGGCTTTTTATGGCACGCACTCCCTTACTGCTTTGTTGAGAGCATAGCACACTATGCACATTAGCAGAGAGTGTTCCTGCTTTTATGATATGCTGATTAGCCACAGCTCACATGTGTTGTCACAAGGCATGTAAGAGACTTACATCCAAGTTAAGTAGTTAAAAATACACAAAAATGGTGAGCAATGTGCCTGTTATACATTTGGGTCTGCATAACAGCAGCTGAGAAGTAACATTTTGAAAAGTTTGCTGTACACGTATACTTCAAAATTTAAAAACTGCTGTAATCTTTCTTTTCGTTTGTGAGACATCACTTAAAAAAAACTTGACATGGACTCTCAAGAATACTAAATCTTCTTGTTCATAAAAATGGCTCATTTTTTCTTCACAAAAATATCAATATAAGGTCATGATGCTCATTGCTTGTTCATCATAATGGCAAGTATCATTAAAAGCATGACCAAGAAGCAAGCGAAAGAGCTCTGCAAATGCGAGGAACCAGACTGGTACGATTTGTCACACGCTGGCGGGCAGATCACGTTCACAGTTTCTGTAAATGACAGAAAAAAAGTGCAAAGCCAGTGAGAAATCTTCAAGCAGTGCAAATGATCAGAAATATTCTGGCCAGATTTTAAACCATTTTTGTGTGCAGTGCTATCGTAAAATATAATGACACCACATATGAAAAAAGAAAAATAATACACATGCAATCTGCTCTTACATATGACTGCTCTTTGTGTATTTAATATTTTTCTTTCTGATATAGCTTTCCAGTGAACAACTATACTTGATCCAGCTCAAACAACTCTTTTAAATAATGATTCAAGCCGTGCTCTTGTTGACACTCTGTATCAACAGTTTCAATGCATTGTCAGACAAATTTTAGCAATGCCAATGAAGCATTTTAGTACACCCAATGTCATTTTACCTCTCTTACTCTCATTTTAACTAATGAAGGGGTCATTTTCCATACAGTTAAATTTCTTTCACTTGGTGTCATAAATTATTACAGTATACTAAAAAAAACAAATCACTTTTGTATTTCCCTCCATGTAATCGTCTTTTGGATCCATTTGATGCTGGTACTCTGCATTGTACACAAGGACTTCTGTGCCTGGCAAAACCTATTGCACAGTTGCTTTCTGAGAAAGGAAACACATGGCATTCAAGCCAAGATTATTACAGAGGCCTTAATTTTTGCCTTGCTTTCTGCAACACATCAGCAGGGCTTCTTGTATGAAATAATGCATTTTTGATACTTTCAAACTTGAATGGAGAATCACGGGATAGTATGAATCTTCATAAACATACAGGCACCTATATTTGTACCAACTGTTTCCCTTTTTTTTAAACATCCCGCGTCACCATTATATACTTACTTAGTACCTCCGGCATGATACCATTTTATGCACTGTTCATGAAAGTATGCATATATAGGCACAGCTTGTAAGAAACTCGTACTCACCATATAACTCGATGATCTTCTCATCAGAGCCCAACTTGTTTAGTGCCTTGCATGTATAGTTTCCGTACTGCTTCTTCTCAATGGCAATTATGCGCAGAGTGGAGTCGGTGAACTCATCGGCCGTTGAAAAGATGGAAATCTGGTAGTACTGATTGTCATTCAGCTGGTAACCATCCTTAAGCCACACGATGGACGGTGATGGAAAGGCTTCGATGTGGCACAACAGGTCCATAGGGTTTTGAAGTGCCTGGCCATACCTCGGGCGGTCCACAGAGACCACTGGTGCAACTGTGTGAATGAAGGAAAAAAAAAACACGAGCACTTGACAAGAGACCAAGAATTATGAATATACATGCTGAAATGAACATAAGAGATTTAATGAATAGTTTCATCTATTGGCAGGACTGACAGCATCTACAGACCTTTTGTATCTAAGGGAAACAGGCTCACTTGGATTTCCAAGGAACACCATTGCATAACTTACAAGTCTTGTATTCCAAATCACTTTCTATTTTGCCTGGTACAGAAGACAAGCATAAAAAATTTAGATACCAGTACTCTTGAAAGGTTGCCCTAGTACTATCATAGGTTTACCAGCACGAAATGAGGCTGTGCCCAGTCAGCCCTTGCTGAAAAAGCCCATTACTTGCTGCAAGCTCACAAGTTATGTGATACATGTAACTGCTTTTTCAAGAGATACGAAAAGTCAAATATGGAACACATTTTTATGTTTATAACCACCTGGTCTATAGGTCTTGATTGTGTGTGCGTCAGTACAATTCAAGAAGTGTGAACCCAGTGCAGGAATTATCTGTCACTCCTGAAGACAACAGCTTCGTGTCCTTACTTCGAATCACTAAGTACTGATGTCCTCAACAAAATAATACTTATGCAGGACTGGAATAAGTGCCGGTATTTACAAAGTACACTGAAAACCTACAATACAACACTACACAAGTACTTTAAACAGGATGTAATATGACCAGTAACAACAGAATAACTTTTGTCTTATTTTCACAAGCAAAATATGGAATATATAGTGTTTCAAACATTAAAAGCAGTAAAGCAAGAGTACCTTTTTAGCCAGCAGGGCAAGTGCTCCAAGCATCACATATGAGAGTTAATATTTACTTCATGTCTCTGCCATTTAGGCAGCCATCACTTTTCAAATTTGGTTTGATGCATTTCATCCAATGAATACTACACTAAATACATAACAGCATCAAAGTTCCTTTTCAACCTTATATGTAAGTAAAGCAACAAGGAAGAGTCAAAAAGCAAAATATGCTTACATTCCACTTCAACACCAATGTTTCTACGAGCCCCGTTGCCGACACCATTGTCAGCGATGCAGTAGTATGTTCCCCGGTCGTTCTTGCTGACGTTGAAAATGCTGAGGATGTTTCCCCGATAAACAGCACCACCTGTGGGCAGCAGGTCATTGTTCTCCCGGCGCCAGGATATGTGCGGCGTAGGGTGACCCGTAGCATAGCACTCCAAAGTGATGTTCTGGCCTGTGCTGGCTATCACAGACCTTGTGCTGTTGTCCGATATAATCGGAGGCACTGTGAAAGAAAAAAAGGCAAAAGAGGTAAACTGAAAAAGCACTCAAGTCACTTTGAGCATCCAAATATCATTGGGAACATGTGCCTACACAACATGAGCATTCCATTAATAAATGTCACTCCTCCATAACGATTTTAACTCTCATCTTGTTTTATTTAGCAGTTAGCTACATGGTTCCTGTAAGGGCAACTTTATGTGCAGTGTTGCTGACAATGCAGAATTTCAAGAGATGGTTATACAAACCTCATCCCAATACTGCTAGAACATGCAGCTGTGATATGCTGAGGCCATGTGATAACCCAGGACTATATTTCCCCGAGGCATGCTGATGTGCAGCATAAGTGATAAAATAAAAGTAATGGTGAGGCTAATTTCTTTGTCAAACAAAATGAAAACAAGAGAAAATGAATCTACAAAGAGCAGCGAAAAGTGCTGCATTATTGTATGCACAAATACATGAAATGGAGGTGTGCTAACAGAGAGCCTTGCACATGTCAACCCCATTATACTATAAGATACTCAGCAATGATTAAAACACAGGCCCACTCATTTGTTCATTAGGCCTCAACTTACATTGGACTAACACTCGTAGGCTTAGTTTGTCATAAATACCAAACCAAGAGATTTAGAGGTTGGCTGTAGGGATAGCTTGACTGGCAAAGCATTTTATACACAATATTTGCATGTGCATAATGCTACAGTGATTCTGTTATATTTAGAAAGGATGTTTTCAATCATGCCAAAAGTTTATTGCTGCTCATACTTAACAGATTATGGCACTATTAGAAACTAGGGGCAGCTGCTGGAAAACCCTGGTTGGTATGCACATACAGCAATTTTGATTTTCATGTGTGCATAGCAAAAAACCACTGTTTGTTATTACTGTAGTATAGTGCTTTGTCTAATGTGCCTGTCTGTGTAGGTCTCATTCTGCTTAAATGGCCACACTGTAGATCATTTAGCCTAACAAAGCATAAGCATACTGCCAGGTGAAACATTCTAATTATGATACTCAGCCTGTAATGCAATGTAAAAGCACCATCAAAACTTTTTACCACACCCTTGACTGCGTTAAAATACTCTCCTACCTTTGCGCTGTTATAAATACCTGTAATTTTATGTGACAAATTTTCGACATTATAGGTGCTTCAAAGTGTCATGCACACAATTTTAAATGTCAAGTTAATACCTCTGACATGAACGTAGACATTTGAGCTGAGCTTGCTCGTGGGTCCCAGGATAATTTGGCACTGGTAGAGGCCAGAGTCTGTTTCCTGTAGCTTGGTGATCTGTAGTGTGTATGTGTTGCTGCCTTCATCATGCCGAATGGAGAACCTCTGATCTGGCACAATGGCCTTGCTCCCAGATGATATAAACAGGTTGTTGCTTGGATCCCGTTCATTGATCTTCACCCAGATTATCTGAAAGAACAAAAGCAAGTTGCCAAAGTGACTACACACTTTTCATGAATCAGGACATACATTCCTGAAGCACTGTTTAAAAGCAACGAATCCTGCATGAATCCCTTTTAGTCACCCCATGCTTTCTATTGAACCAAAGGGAATGAATTGGTGATTTCATTACTTCAGAAAAATAAAATGAAACAGAGATAACAACCAGCAAAGTGCTGCTGCATAAAATAGCGGATGTGATGACGGCACAGCCGGTGTGAATCGAAGTGGGGTTGAGTTTAGTCGAATTACAGCATGTCGATAGCGACGTAATGAAGACCAATACCTCAAATTATTGTGAACAAGACGCCTAAGCTTGTGCAAGATCAATTTCCAAACTGCCCTACATGTCTAGCACCAGATTCAGCCGCTTATTAGGGTTGCTAAGTTATGCGGCCTATATGTGGGCTGGGAGAGGTTCTTCCCTAGACACGTTCTGAAGAGAGGAGCACCACGTTCACCCTTAAAATCTGACAATATTCAATGAACATCATTACAATGCTACTAAAGATCAATTATTATTATTCCCAATTATGAGTTTTACTGTCAGGATCTCATAGTTGATGAGTCTGGAAAGCTTTCGCTGAATTAAAGTAATGAGTGCAAACAACTACACAAAAATATTTGATCTTTGTCTTTGCAGTTTTATTTTGAGGAATGTAAAACAGTGGACACAACTTACAGGGTACGCCTCAGCATACTGCACAGAACACTGTAGGTCCACTGTGTCTCCTATACCGACCACCATTTCTTTGCTGATGTATGATATCACAGGACTCTGCTGACAGGAACCTGCACAAACAAAGAAGAGCTCTTTCTGAACTAAACATTTTATGCATTCAATCACAATATATGTGCTTTCAATGACATACGACGAATACTCATGCCTTTGTGTAAAAAAATTTCTGAAGTAACAGCACAAGCCTTACATAATTATTTTATTATTTTAACACAAAAGTGTTTTATGCCAGGGCCAACCCCGGCTCTGCTGATCACGAAAGTGATGTTGAAAAATATATACTAAGAGATTTCAAAGGAAAAAAAAACGAGAAGCAAGCATACGTTGGGCGGAATTGAACCAGCAACCTCTCGATTCTCAGCGCACGGCGCTGAACCCTAAGTCACAGAGCATACGTTGTCTGGTGTGCTAACGGCTAGCCATTTATATACACCATACACCATCTGGCAGTCCTCTGAGCTTCGAAACTTTAGCGCGTTTTCGTTATCAGAGGCGAGATGGCGCGACTGACTCTCGTTGGGCGCGCTCTAAAGGTCGGCACCTCCACGAAGCGTCGCCTCCACTGAGCGTGGTCTTTCCTGCGCGGGCGCTTATCAGACTCGTAATTTTGGAGAGGACGACGGTCACTTCTAACGCTATTGCGGCCTCGTTTAGGAAAGGAGCGCGCTGCAGGCACCCGACGCAGGAAGACGTTTGACAGTTGTTCACGCTTCTCATGTATATATTTGTGGGCTCGTTTTATGCGTCTTTCTGTCTAAGTGTCGAGCTGTGACCATTGTCGGTCCGCGCTCGTACTTGGTATGCTTATTTCATTCGTGCTTTTTGCTTGAGGTGTGCACTGCGAATTTTGAGCGCTTGCCGTTCTTAACCTGACTTTGCAATTTGTTGCTGTTGCTGAAACAATGCACCAACTACCTCTGTAAGGACACCATCCACTTCCGTGTTATACCGAATCCTACATAAAGGGATCAGCCACTCTTTTTTTTTTGTATCAAAACATTATCCTCGTTGCAACAACCAGCACACCCACCCCGATGTAGTAAACGATGTAGTACGATGAATTATCGGATAGACGGTAGTACATATAAAGTTGGTTTGTCATGCTAACAGTTGGCATTCGGTGAAGTAATGAAGTCACACGCTACTGTGGCATCAGTACAACTTTCAGTTTGGCGGACACCAATTCACTGTAAAATTCGTGTACGTTCATTCCAGCGAAATTTTGTCAAACAGTAGGTACCTGACTTGGTGTATTGGTCACAGTGAGCTGCCGAAATTGATGCTATAATATTAAACAAAGTTTTTTGACCGCTGCCACTGCAAACGACGTGAATCTAACTCACGAAAATTATGATTCAACCTGCACGCTTGGCCAACGTTTGTGGCGTTTTTCATAGCAAAATATAGCGTGCGCAACGCTGACTCAAAATGCGGCACGTGTAGTGACTCAGACTATAAGTATTCAACGCCGCTGCAGCGGTGGACAGCAGAGTCGTTTAGCAATGTCGGCACTTTCAAAAACTGGAGCAAATGTATTCTATCCCATGATACCGCAAGGAGTATCACGTCGTAACACACATCTACATGACGCAGAATGAGTATAGACGTCAACAAAGATGTGAGTAAAAGAAGTAAAAAACTGAAAGAGTCGCGGTAGTATCTGGAGAAAAATGAGGCGCAATGATCTGGCCACTTATAGGCGGCTCTACGTAATTGCAGGTTTAAGTAAAAGACAGAAACTCAACCTTCTCATTTTATTTGTGAGTCTGTTCAGTGCGCGAGGCCGAAACATTATCGAAGAGACCCCAATTTTACTAACAGAAAGTTACAAATATCTTGGCGTAACAATCACTAACAAACTAACTTAATCTTCTCACATTGAAAAGATTTGTTCATCTGCACGTAGGATTAGGCATTCTAAGGCATAGACTCAGTAGTTCTCCCCCCAGTACTAAACTTCTAGCTTATAATACAATAATCAGGTCTGGTTTGGAATATGCATGTGAGGTGTGGGATCCGCGTACTAAAACAGATATTCAAAATCTAGAGAAAGTCCAAAGGTTAGCCGTCCGCTTTATTTTCAACCGATTTCGCTGATCTGATTTTTCCAACTGAACTAATGCATGATAACAAAATTCAAACTCTAGAATGTCACAGGAAAACTGCAAGACTAAAACTTCTTTTCTATGTATCCAGCAAAAAAAGTGTACTTGAGCTATCAAATATTCTTTCTCCGTTATCTTCGCGTCCAACTAGACGATATCATTCGCAAAACTTCACTCCTATCTTTGCTCGAACTAACAATTTCAAATACTCTTTCTTTCCTGAATCGAAGGAACTACCACATCACATTTTGGAATCTGGAAACGTGTTAAGGTGTATTGAGAATTTTTTTGAAGTAACTTAGATCTTGCACCATAATGTGTTGTATATTTTCCTGTTAGTTTGTGCCTCCTGTATTGTTGCTTTTTTTGGTCATATTCTCATACTGTACCAGCCTCACTCCTGCCTGGGCTATTCTTAGCCTGCAGTATTTTCTAAATAAATAAATAAATATATAAATCTCTATGCATTCCAAGTTCCATTCAATGATACAAGCAGCGAAAGAGTAAATGACCGAACAACTATTAAAGTGCCTTGAAGTGATCTCTGCGACGAACAGACCACGCGTCTACATTTAGAGTTACACGAGCCTGGTTTCTTTCGTTCGCCCACGCAAATGTTATCGACCGCAGCGTCACGATGCTGGCAAGACCACCTCGGCTGCCATGCGCTCGCTGGCTCGACTATACCAGCACACCATAACACACCGATCAATCGATGACCCTACGCCACTGAGAGAATAAGGGAGGGGTGGGAGGGAGATTTGACGACACTGCAAAGAGCGAGCGATGTTGTTTCGTACCAACGGTGGGATCATGACTCAGCCTAGGACCACCAAGCGAGGCGCCATCGTCGAGGCCACTCGCAGCCTTCGCTTTGGAATAGGTGTAAAATTGGCATGCCCCCTCACCGGCGTGCGCCCGTGACGCGCACGGTGATTTGGATGCGCGACGGAATACGCCGAAGGAGCAACAGACGCTGCCCGACACCGGCGGTGGGCCGTCCAGCCGAAAGTCGTGCCTACTCCCCCCGGTCAGGGCCGACGCGAGCTCGGTTGTTTGTTAGACGGTCGCTATGGCGAACAAAGAAACTGCGCCACGCATCCGCATACATGCAAACGTACAAATACACAAAGTTTAAAGAAAATCAGCGTACGGTACGTGCGTTCACTTTTTTTGTGGGCACGGACGAGTGTGCAGACTGACTTCCAGCACAGGTCTTCGCGAGGCCTCCCAATGCATTCCACAAAAAGGATATCAGGAAACGCAGCCGATTAACCGCGCTCTTTCTACGAATCCTTACGTTAGTCCACAACAGCATTCAGAGAAGTTACGTGGCTGACGGCGGTCATTTTAATATGTCGACATGGGTGTTTTCACATTGAGGCACCATCGCTTTGCTACAGCTGCATCGAACCCACAACCTTTGGGGTCTACAAACGAGCACCATAACTAAAGACCACCACGGCAGACGCCGGCGACGTATCGAGACATGTATACGTGTCCGCATGCGCCATTGAGGTTGGCCGGTACATATGAACACCAGGTAAACCAAACTCTTAACAATATCCCGAGCTTAAGCTCCGGGCCTCTTTTACCGAAACCCACAAATGTTGTTTAGTCGTCATAATGATCGACTGGCTGGACCCGCGGGGTCAAGTACCCGCCGCGGCAGCCGCATTTTCGATGGAGACGAAAATAGCTCGAGACCCATGTACTTTAGGTGCCCATTAGAGAACCCAGGAGGTCGACATTTCGGGAGCCATTCGGCCGCTGATCCGCAGGTCACGGGAATCGAATCCCGCCTGCGGCGGCTGCATTTCCGATGGAGGCAGGGAGTGTTGTAGGCCCGTGTGCTCAGATTTGGGTGCACGTTAAGGAACCCCAAGTGGTTTAAATTTTCGAAGCCCTCCACTATTGCGTCTCTCATAATCATATGGTGGTTTTGGGACGTTAAACGCCCACATATCATGATTTCGGGAGCCATTAACATACGGTGTCTCTAATAAACATATAGTGGTTTCGGGATGTTGAACCAATCAATTAATGAATCAATCAATCAATCCAATCATTATTATTATTATTATTATTATTATTATTATTATTATTATTATTATTATTATTATTATTATTATTATTATTATTATTATTATTATTATTATTATTATTATCTACCTCACGGGTGCATTCCTTATAAAGAAGACTACAACCGCATAGATAAAGCACCTGAAGCTTAGCGAGTTTTCACGAGTGAGTGTTACTGAGTCGTAGTTATGCTATCCACATTTACAGTAATTTATATTAGTGAATACTTGTAGTGTTTTCTCACATTAGCACATGTGGCTAAAATCATTCCAGATAATTGCACTTAATCCAGCTTCAGCCGCGGCGCCGAGTCGGCAGTGAGTTTCAGCTCGTGTACTCACTTGCGAACTCTGCGTGTTCCCTGTTTTAGGCTGCGACGCACTTGCGCGTTTCCTGGCTGATCACAAACAATGTAAGGGCATCAGGGAGGTTATGCGATGCACAGGTTAGTCATGCTCGATTGCCTGGCGAGTATTTCATTTATTAATAGACTTGGCAAACGCGTTGTGTATCTGCTTTGTTACTACTATTCCTTATTTTCTCAAAGATATATTTACTTGGCGCCACAAATGTATATCCGGCATGGTAGCGTTCTAAAGCTCTGCGCCGTGCAATTGGAGTACGTCAGCAATGGAAAGGAATAACACATCGGTCACCGTTCCAATAGCCAACAAAACACCTGTTACCAACCAGCTGTTCCGTTACACCATAGGTGACGCGCACTCCCGAAAATGCACAGGCACGAGCGCATGTCATGCCGATTGGCGCCACGTCGCACTACAGCGCAGCTGACAATCATCGTGCGTTCATACGGGCGTGTGTTTCAGTATAATGTGCATATATGGCGAAAACAATAATGCAGCAGC